TGATGCTCTGAGTTTCTCTCTCCTCTCCTCTCCTCTCCTTTCCTCTCTCCCTATGCATCTATATGCCACCACTACCCGTCACTAACTGTGTGTCTCCTCTCTCTCTCCCATAATGCGTCCTCTCTCCCTCCCATAGTGTGTCCTCTCTCTCTCTCCCTGTACCTTCCTGCAGGTTGCCCTGGCTCTGGAGCTCTATGTCTCTGACGAGCAGTCACCAGCCACATCAACCAGACCAGTGTTTGATTGTTTGTTGTGTCTTGTTGTTTTTCTTCTTTTGTCTCTCCTCTTTCCACTCACCCCAACCGGTCAAGGCAGAAGGCCGCCCACCAAGAGCCGGGGTCTGCTCAGGGGGATTTGTTGGGTTTTCCCTCTATAATAATATTAATAATAGTAAGGTCTAGACTTGACTTTGTAAAGTGTCCTGAGATGACTTCTGTTGTGATTTGGTGCTATACAAATAAAATTTGATTTGATTTGATTTGAAAATCTCACTGGACATAGGCTTATTTCTATACTGACAACCTTTAGAGTGTCAAAATTAAAATATTTAGGGCTATGGTTCAATGAAAAGAACAGTTCAATTAATTTTTATCTGTACAACGCCAAATCACAACAAAATCATCTTAGGGCACTTTACATAGTAATGTCTGGACATTATTATTATTTTTTATTACTGAAATAAAATGCAAGAAAGTTCTAAATACTATCAGTAATATATGTAGGTATGAATGGGGAGCACATAAACAATCAACAATAGATATATATAGCCTGAGAACAGAGCAAGGATTCAAGGCAGTTAGAAGTGGATTAATCCGCTTCATTTGGGGAGACAGGATTAGAAAATATGCTATAGCGTTTTATCTCCCAGAGATCAGGTAATTAAATGTTGTGAGGCTGCATACGGTCCCATGCAGTAGGTGGCGGTCTGCACCTTCAGCATTGGTTTGCCATCTGCCAGATTGAAGCACCAGAGCCATCCACTGGCTAGAACACGAGAAGAAGAAGAAGAGAAAACGGAAGTGTACGTCTACAGAGCAATCAATAGGTTTTTAGAGGGTACCGGGCTGAGTAAAATAATAATGCATAAATTGAGTGAGGCTATTTCATTATAGTAGCACTAGATAGGAGCTGTTCTGATCCGCACTCCAGCCTGGAAGGTGGCGGTAATGCACCTAAAGCTGGTTTCCATCCGCCGTTAAAAAAATAACTAAAGAAGAAGAAGAGGAGTTTGATTGAGCTCCAAACGTCCATCAAACGTCAACAGAAATTTCAGCAGGGACTTCGCCAGGGCTTCCTCTGGGACGGAAAAGGGACGTTCGGCCAGACTCGGTGAGTTTACCGGCGTGTTCCGGTTTGTGGAAGACGGTAGATCTGCAGCTAACAGGGGCTAACCAGCTAACAGCGCTTTAAACTGTTTTAAACAGACGGGGCACGGAAATAACACGGGTTATTGGGTGTGTGAGCTCCGAAGCCGTATCGCACACCTCTTGCAATCCTCTCTATCTATTATAATCCTGTTGTATTTTTCCGCTGTCACATTTTCGTTCGCTATCTCCTCCCCCAGTTTTCAGGGTACGTGCACCAAACTGAAGTATGTTGTGTGTTCCCATTGGTGTCCTGTGACTTTTGCTGAGGATCCGAGATGTGGTTTCCTGGCAAATAGCAAAAGGAGCGATTTTCCCCATAGGGATGAATGGAAAATGATTTTCCTTTTTCTAGGAATAAATCAAAATCACAAACTTGGTACGTCTTCCTTGTGACATGACATACTGACTATAAAAACATGACCTGTTACGCCACCTTGTGGTGAGTTATCGGTGTTTGTGATCTTTTTACATTTTCATTAATAACTAATGACCCGTGTGGCCTAGAAAAAAATCCTCTGGATTCCTTGGGTCATTCTGAAACTATTTTCTGTGGGGACCGCCCACTTCCGTCAGAGTTTCTGCCATTTTTAATTTTTTTTTGTAAAACAATTTGTTTCACTCCCTATTCTCCATACATCACCCAGTCTTCACCAAACCTGGTACATCCCCTATGTGGAGCACCCCGGAAACAATGGTACCACTCGTTCTGCGATATTTCTGACTGTTTTCCTGCTATTGGCTACTGAACTCAAGTGGGCGGCATCAAAAGGTGTCAAATGCTATAACTCTACACTAGAATGTCCAAATGCAACCATAATGTACAGGTGCAAACTCTTGAGTCGGCTGGCCGAGTTTAGTTTATTTTTGCCATTCAGATGTGCTAAAGGTGGGATTAACGTTTGAAACGTTAAAGCTCTGCAGAAAAGTCATGAATCTGAATCTCCTCCTCTACTTTCAGCTGGTCCTGTCAGGGGTCGCCACATCAAATCATCTGTTTCCACACCGATGATTCGCACGGTTTGAAATTTGGCACGTTTTTACGCCGGATGCCCTTCCCGATGCAACCCTCTCTATTTATCCGGGATTGGGGCCGGCACAGAAGTCACTGGTGTTGTTTCCGGTACCTTTTACCATACTGACTCTGAGAGACGAGACAGTCCAAGTAACTTCAAAACAGTGCTGATTTATTCAATGAACACAGGTAAAAATTAACATTACACGCTCAGGTATCTTGGACCTCCAAACTGCTCGCAGGCAGATCAAAGATGAAAGACCCCCAACCACAACAGGCCTGTACATTATATTGCTTTGGGCTAACCCCATTCTACACAGGCACGTCAAACCATGACGCCACCTGATATGCCAGCTATGCAGCTGGCCAGAGCAGTAGTCAAAACATGGAGAAAATCAATGTGTGATTGTCCGTTGATTGTGTGGTGTGTATCTAAGACATTCTGACACGACATCCAGTGACATGTCCTGACATTAAGCATAAGAAGATATTATGACTATGATTATGATTAAACACGTCATACAGTAATCAACTTTTTATCTAGTTATCCTTGAACCTAAACAACCTGGAGTAACTCATGAAAATGAGTAAGCGTTTAACAGCCTGAGCTAGACATCCTGTCTACACTAAACATTTCTAATACATAAAGTACCTAACCATTGTCTATCTGACCCCTGAAACCCCTGTGGCTAGAGGTTCCCCAACCGGGAATCGAACCCGGGCCAAGAGCGCCGAATGTCTCGAATCTCAACCAAATTGACAATAATTGAGCTACGCTGATGTCTGTGTCTTCCTATAGAATTTCATACTCTGTTGATCCCAGGGGGCACTACAGTTAACCAATATGTGTTAAAATGTCACTTCCTGATGCCATTATAATTTTGAAAAGCTATAACTCATCAATGGATTGCTGTATTTCTACCAAAGTTGGGATAGATCTAAGGGTCCTGAAGCAGTGTTGCGAGTTTCATGCGCCCATGTCAATAAGGGGTGCAACAGAGTCAATACCCACCTAAAGTTAAAGCTTGTTATCTTTGCCAGTGTAGGGTCATTCAATGTTTGAATCACACTAAACACTTCGCCTTGCTGTGGTCTGTAGCAGCTTTTTGATTGGTTACATAGTTTTTGAGAGACAGCCAATTAAATGTGATGTTGTGATTTTGACTCTGTTCAGCTCATGCTCCTCCCCTTTCGTTGCCACTGTGCCACATACAACAGTCAGCCCACCTCTCAATTATACAACAGTCCTGGACCAAAGAGTGTTAAAAAATCTTTTTGATATTTTTTATAAAATTATTTTTTAAATGGATGCATTTTACTTTTAAGTCCCTTGTCCACCCCCTGTGGAGATTTTTTTTTTCTAGCCTCCCTTCATGCTGATCTGATGCTGATGTAATGTTTTTGTCACACATGTACAAACACTATATTGCCATGTTTTGTTTTTTGTTCAGTGTAACAATTTCAGATCGATGACTTAGGTCCCATACATCCCTTTTTATTTGTTCATATTTTTATATTAACTTATAGAATTGTGCGTTATGTAAATAATGTCTGTCTTTTAAGCCGAGAGCTGCCGGAAAAAAATTCGTTGTGCTATGCATAATGACAATAAAGATTCTTGACTCTATTTTTTTGAGGGAAATGAACTGTTCCATCTTGTCTCCCTGTGTCTGTCACACAAACACACACGTTGTCACTCCATCTGTCTATCTTTGTACACTTTGTAAGGCTGGAGAAGTTACTATGTCTGCATTATTCATTCATTCAGTCATCTTCTACCGCTTAATCCCTGAACGGGGTCACGGGGGGGGAGGGCCGGAGCCAATCCCGGTCGGCAATCGGGCGGAGGCAGGGGACACCCTGGACAGGTCGCCAATCCATCGCAGTGTCTGCATTATGCCAGATAAAATACGGGGTTTCTCAGCTACCCACTTTGTTTAGAGTGTTACACATCTCTTTTCATTGGTACATATAACGATGTTTACCTATCTATGGAGGAGACATTCAGATTAATTAATGCTGTTGTGGTTCATCCTGCTGTCCACTTTCATATTGTGGCTCAAACGTGTCAGGTAGGATTTGAGGTATTGTCACTGTCAAAAACATAGCTTATTTGTCAGTCTTTTGTTCCCCTGCTCAAAACTCATGTAGCACCCCCCTCACTGGTTGTTAGGATAATGTTAGGGGAAGCATCTCGATGGAGAAACAGATTTCAGCACAACACCAGCAACAGGAGTTGTGCGCGTTCCGAACTATCCTCTCGTTTTTAGGAAGAGGCTCTCTGGTTTTATCGTTCTGAACTAATTACAGAGTATTTGGAGTTATGAGGGGTGCCAAAATAATCTAGAGGTACCCAAGATTAAACATTAAATGGCTGGAAACGACCAAAACGAGCAGCCATGGGGACTTTAAAGTCACCCGCTATGATGAAAAGGAGGTACTTTGTCCAACAGTTCTATGAACTATGAAAAAGTTCTTCAGGTCCATAAGTGCCTATAGTGACAGTATTTGAGAGACATTCAGCAGGTTGTAAAATGTGCTTTGGACACACGTTGCTAACTTAAAATGTCACAAGTATAAGAATTGCTATTGATTTCAGCTTGGTACTTTGGAAGATGGTAACCAAGTCAGTGGAGCGCTATAGTGCTGGTGATGTTTGGAACTGTTTGACATTGCCATGATTTGTCATTGCTGTAAAATAATGGTCCTTGTTGGGTCAGCGGAGATGTCTTCACTCTCCTTCTGAGTCCGGTCTGGCTCAGGTTTTTTATGACGGCACAGATGATGGCAGTCATGATGCAGAACATGCAGCTTTAACACATTTGTTAAAGTGAAAACCAAAGCTTGACCATATGTTATTGAAGCCCCTCCCCCTGTGCTGTGATTGGTCAGTTTCTGTCTATGTGGCTGATCATTGCTGAGGTCAGTTACAGTTTCTTGTTGCTTTTGTTCTCAGACAAAATGTTTTTCCTGAAGACTTTTCCTGTGTGTGAACCTGCAGCTCTGCAGCTTCTCAGACTGTTCTCTACCAACACTCTGCCCACTCTCACTCTGTTTACTAAGGTAACCTCATCTTTGACACAACAGACGACAGTAACTCCAGACTCCTACGGGGGCAGTGACATGATCTAAACAGTTTAACTCTGGATTTCGTTAAAACAAAAGCCAGACTTTGCGTTACAGATATCGCTGTGAATCCTCATCATCGTGGCTCATCTTTTTTTGTCTGTGAATGTGAACTCGAAACAGAATAGGCATGTAACAGATAAATGTGAACACAACCCACATACTGTAAAGCACTTTTTAAAGGTTTTTACTGACAGAATTCAACTATGAAATAAAAGTGACCAAGCTAGTTCTCGGTGCCCAGTGTTTAAAATATGAGACACAAATGAAGCTTCTTCCATTCAGTTTGTGGATGGATGAGACCTGTGAGTGTGTCCTCTGTACCTGTGTTGTTGTTTTTTATTGTTGTGCATGAACGCTGGTGTTCATGGTGTATGATGTCATGTATGTCCTGTTTGTCTGCAGGACCCGTGCCCTCTGTGTGATGAAGCCAAACGAGAGCTGGAGCCGCTGAAACACAGAGTGAGAGCTGACACCTTCACATCTACACTCACACTGAACTCTGGAACCTGTAGTCTCAAACACACCTGGTGTCACCACAGCAAAGTCAACAGGACTGTGTCGGTCTGTTGTCATGGCAACTGCGGCTGTAAAAATCAGACCAGAGCTGCTAAGTGAGGTTAACAGTGATGACTCTGTCAACAGACAGTTAACCTGCTAGTGTTTTTGTTAGGTTAGTGTTTTGTAATGGGCTAAATTATGACCAGATATTAATCTAATTCATATTTAGTTTCATGACGTGGAGCCCAATGTGAGAAACTGTCCGAGCTGTTGTCTGTGCCCAGTTCACTCACTTATGTAATGTGCACATTTACTCAGGCACTGTACTTCAGTACAATGTTGAGGTACTTGTACTTAAATATTTTTCATTTCCTCTAACTTCACACTCCAACTCCACTACATTTCAGAGGAACATATTGTGCTTTTGGGGGCGGGTGTGGCTCAGGGGGTAGAGCGGTCGTCCCCCAACCGAAAGGTTACGGGTTGATTCCCCCTTCTCCCCAGTTCACGTGTCAAAGTGTCCATGAGCAAGACACTGAACCCCAAGTTGCTCCCAATTGCCAGACCAGCGTCTTGCAGGGACAGTGCTGTAAGCAAAGATGGCAACAGAAAATTATGTAGTGTGTGTGTGTGGGTGTGTGTGTGTGTGTGAGAGAGAGTTGGTAGACGGCTGCCTCAGTTCTGTACTGGAGACAAATTCCCTGTTTGTGTAACATACTTGGCCAAAAAAAAAAAAGTGTTAATAGTCCATCCCGCTGACTCCATCTCTTAGCTAGAGCTCCACATGCTTGGAGCAGCTGCGTATTACCTAGTCATAACAAAATGAGGTAGCTCAATGTGTGTGTATGTTGTATGCGTGAGGTGTAACTAAAACATCCATTCAGACATAATTCTTACACAAGATTAAAACAAGAAAACAATTGGTGTCATGGCTTACTGCTAACCTTGAAACAGAGCAGACTAGAGCAGACTTTGAATCTTACTAAACTACATTACTAACACATTGAAGTCTAACACATTAAAGTCTAATAATTATCTGACTGATTTATTAATTTCTACCACAGCCAATCTCAGAATGTTGTTTAAGTGCTTGTGTGTTAGCCTTGACCGCATTTTTGTTTTATTGATGTTCATTACTGAGAAAATTTGTTCACAAAGGTTGGTTGTCCCAAACATGCACAAAATTTTTGCAGCCAGGGCTGTTAACTTTTTGTTGTGGCAGCATTTTGAGGTGGTGATCCATGTGTTTATTACATCGTGCATGGATTACTGTAATGCATTGTATGCTGGAGTCAGTCAATCGTGTCTTGCCCGCCTCCAGAGGGTCCAGAATACTGCCACTCGGCTATTGGTAGGGGGGCGTAAGAGGGACCACATAACGCCAGGGCTGGCATCTCTCCTTTGGCTTTCGGTGCGTTTTAGGGTTTGTTTTAAGATTCTTTTATTTGTTTATAAATCCTTAAATGGGCTGGCACCATCCTATCTCATGGAACTTTTGCGTTCGTATAATCCGTCGCGGTGCCTTAGATCAGCTGATCAGCTTCTTCTGGAGGCACCGAGGGCCAGGCGGAAAACTAGGGGGGGATAGAGCCTTCGCTGTGGTGGGTCCAAACCTGTGGAATGCTTTGCCGCTTTATATTAGGCAGGCCCCTTCGCTGTCTACTTTTAAGTCTTATCTGAAGACCTACTTGTATTCATTGGCGTTTGATCAGGAATGAGACTCTGTCTGTAGTGTTAGTTTGTTTTATTGTTTTTTATGTGTTGATTTTAGATTTGTATGGTATGTTAAGCGCTTTGGTCAGCTGTGCTGTGGTAAAGCGCTATATAGATAAAGTTGAGTTGAGTTTTACTGCACTACATTTTTCTGACAGCTGCAGTTAGTTTACACTAGATTCAGACCAAAACTAAATATAATCAATTAAGAGTTTGAGTTGTTATAAGTCCCCAACAGTACGTAGTCATCAATGCTGGCTCCACCAGCTCCAGCATTAAACTGATGAACACATTCATTCATTCAAATTCTACCACTTAATCCCTGAGCGGGGTCACGGGGGGGCCGGAGCCAATCCCGGCCAGCAATCGGGCGAAGGCGGGGTACACCCTGGACAGGTCGCCAATCCATCGCAGGGCTAATACATAGACGAACAACCACACACACGCACGCACATGCACTCCTATGTGGCAATTTAGAGACACCAATCAACCTAAGCTGCATGTCTTTGGACTGTGGGAGGAAGCCGGAGTACCCGGAGACACGGGGAGAACATGCAAACTCCACACAGGTGGGGCCCGAACCCAGAACCTTCTCGCTATGAGGCAACGGCGCTAACCACTGTGCCACCGTGCTGCCCACATTCATACATTAATATGACACATAAAGGACGCCTATCACTCTGTCCCCTGAGCAGGCCTCGGACTCTCAGATCACTGTATGGTCCATCTTCTTCCAAACTACAGGCAGAAACTTAAACCTGTGAAGCCTGTGGTCAAAACAATGAAGAGCTGGACTGAGGAGACTAAGTCAGAGCTACAGGCCTGCTTTGACTGCACGGTAATACCTCAGGTCTTTTATTGGACAGATCTGAATAACGAAGGAGTCCGTCTTTCTTCTAGTGCTGATTTATTTTAAACCACAATCAAAATTACAAACACGGCCTGGGTTGTTCCTTCCTCCAGAAACACACACACTCTGGCTGCTGGAGAGAGGAGATCCCGGAAACACAGTGCCTAATACATGTATAAGTTTTGGGCTAACCCCTTACACAGATGAAGTCAGTTCGCAGACTCCATCGCTCATCTAGTGCTCCAACTGCATGGAGCCACTGCGCTTTACCTAGTCATAACAAAATGAGGAATTTCAGTGTGTGTGTATGTTGTCATGTGGTGCTTAGCTAAGACATTCATTCAGACATAATATTCTAACACAATATTTAATGCAAGAAAACAATTGGTGCCATGGTTCACTTTTCAGAATCAACACTGTCTGCTAACCTTGAAACAAAACAGACTAGAGCAGATTTTAAATATTACTAAACTGCATTACTGACACATTTGATTCAACACATTAATATCTAATAATTACTAATATCTAACAGCACAGGCTGGAGTGTATTTGAGTCTGCAGCTACAGACCTGGATGAACTCACTGACACCGTGACATCTTATATAAGTTTCTGTGAGGATGTGTGTGTGTGTGTGTGTGTGTGTGTGTGTGTGTGTGTGTGTGTGTGTGTGTGTGTGTGTGTGTGTGTGGGCGTG